CTCTCTCTCTCTCTCTCTCTCTCTCTCTCTCTCTCTCTCTCTCTCTCTCTCTCTCTCTCTCTCATTTTAGCTTGTATCCCGTCTCTCTGACGAACATTACAGTTTCATTCTTTAGAAATGGCACACTTAAAATCAATAATTAAGTTAAGTATAGCAATTTCCTGCTGGGCCCACTTCTTCCATGAAATTTTTGCTTGCATGGCCTTTTTTGTTTAGACTGCATATCAACAAAAGAAAAGGTATACTTTCCAACTAAGCTAATGCGGCAAACACTTCCGTCGTCCATATGATATCTCGGGCAGAAATTTAGTACCAAAAACTAAAAGCTTCTACCTTAGGTCAACAGATGGCCACACCAATTACTCAACTTTTCATCCTTCTCATAAGAGCTGGCTCCACAGCCAATCATATCTTGATGACAAAAACTTTAGAGGATCACAATCGAGGAGCTCAGCATCACAGAATATGAAATAAGAAAAGATTATTCAAGCAGCAAAGCTGAAAGAAAGACCCAGATGGAAAATTATTTGCCCATAGCTATTCATGAAAACAAGAATTTTTGCTAAAACAACAGGCTCCATTATTTAACCATGAACTGAACAGAACTTAACCGACATGGGTCTCAAGCAAATACCCTGAAAAAGTAGCAATTCCATCAATTTCAGCACCCAAATCCCCAAAATGTTCAGTTTTTTATCAATTCATGAAAAGAAAAAATGTGATGGGCAGTAAAGAAATCATATAAAGTAGCTAAAACCTTAATGATTCACAAGACCCAGAAGCCCAATACTCATAAATCTCTATGGAATCAGAAGGAATCAAACTAAGAAATCAGAAAAAGAAGAGAACTTACATTCTGAACTTGACTGGGGCTTTGGAGAAGCTTGGCGGGTAAAACTTCATGCTTTCTGGTTATATTGCGTTCAAATTTCTGTTATACCCCGCTTATATTTATCTTATTTTGTAATTGTCACCGAACAAAACCCTAACTTTTGGGGGTTAAATTGAAATTGCTTGGTCTGCCACCGCAACTCGATGGAATCGTTGGGGCTGTCTGTGGACGGCTGTGATTTATCTGAAGAATTCCCTCGTTGGTGTGAGTTATTCACAGGGTAAACATTTGTATTGACTCAGCATTATGGGCTTCTAACATTGATGGCCCATCTAAAGTCGGCCCTCGCAATTTTGTTTTATTTCCCCCTTTTTTAACTTGAGCTTGTGTGTATCTCTCTCTCTCTTTCTCAACTCTTTCTTTTATTTTTAGATGAACTTTTAAATTAAAATTTTAAAAATATATAAGTTTTGATGTTAAATCTTTAATATTTTTCTTAATCCCTCAAAATGTTGAAGTTGCTATTAGGTCCCTCAATTCTTATAAGTTGCTTTTTCCCCCCAAGTTATGCAGAAAAGAAAAAATTACCAAAAAACAAAAGCTACTCCCTAGAAAAGCATGGGACAGCAACACCTAAACAATCACCGGGTACTTCGACTTCAAGTTCGGAATTTGACACTGAAATTCCTCGATTTTGGATGAGGCTAGGACCTTAGGGGTCGACCATTTTGGCTGAATCTTTAAGTTTAGAGGATCAACGATGATCAAATTCCTAGTGAAAATCTAAAACCTTTGAAAGTTCCACAATGGCGTAGTTACTGGTGGAGGTGTTTGTGCAAGTGCATCAGAGTTTTTCTCACTCTTGATTTGTTTTTCAGTCTGTGTTTGTCTTGAAGGAAATCGATAAGCAAAGTATCCGAAGATTGTTTTTATAGAATTTCCTTTTTTTAAAAGTGAGGAATGGAAAATATTTATAGAGGCCCACAACCGAGAAAGTATCCAGTGTGGATGGTCCATGACATTTAACGTGCACTGAATAGATATCAATCATTGGATTATGCATGAATCCCTAAGTTCAATGATCTAAGGGTTGACATCCCTTTGATGCATATATATATATAATGTGTCGCGCGCCTATGCGGAAGCGTTGCACACACACACAGCGAACTTGAGATCACGGAAGAAGAAAGTCACACACTTGCACAAACCAAGCCAATTACGACAAATCAAACCAAACACAGAGATATACGTGGTTCGGCAATTGCCTACGTCCACGGGGAGAGGATGGGAAGATTTCACTATATGGAGGAGAAATACAACGGGTTACAACTCACAAAATCACTCAAATATAACCCTAACCAAAGCTCTCAACTCCCTCACAATATCTCCCTCTCAAAGTGCTCAAAACAATGTTAATTCTCTCATTTTCTCTCCTTAAGAAACTGTTGGGAATTTAACGCCAATATCCCTAATGCAACAGAAACACAGAATAGAAAAAGTACACCAAGTTTTAACGAGGTTCGGCAACTGCCTACGTCCTCGGGAGCCACACAGATTATTTCTTTTTAATCAAACAAGAAATTACAGATTTAAGAGCAGATCAAAAATGAGATCTCTCAAATGAACACTGTAGCTACAGTGTTAATAATTAAAGGGTATGAACCCTTTCAATTCTTACTTGAGAATAAATACCCCACAATATAAACCCCTCTTTAATTCTCTCTCTCTCTCTCTCTCTCTCTCTCTCTCTCTCTCTCTCTCTCTCTCTCTCTCTCTCTCCCTGACCAAGAAAAAACAGCCCAAGGTCGCAAACGCCGAGGTTCGAAAAGGGGGTATAACGGAACGGCAGAGAGCTAAACAAGCGGGTTCGAACGCGAGATGCTCCGGGGAGGCGCTCGCACGGTGAGCTGAAAAGAGCTCGCCTAGCCCAGACTTCCGAAGCTCCGCGACTGAGCTTCGGAAGTCGCAGGCGAGCTCGAGCTCCACGTGCGAGCGCCTCCCCCGAGCTCTGCGTTCGAACCCTTTAGCTCTGCGTTCGTACCCCCTTTCGACCTCGGCGTTTTTCGACCTTGGCGTTTTCTTTCGACCTCGGCGTTTGCCCCGACATTGCGCCATCCTGGAGCTCGTCGGAGCTCCTCCGCCGTCGGAGGTTGGTATCCATCCCCAATTAACAGAAACCCTAAAAAACATGGTCCTATTTATAATAAAATACAATCCCAAACAAAGGAGGATTCCCATACAAAGGAGGATTCCCATACAAAGGAGGATTCTAAAAACGAGTCTGCCACACCTTGCACCATGGGTGTGGCAGAGGGTGTGGTGCAGGACAGATTCTGCCACACCCTGCACCGTGGGTGTGGCAGAGGGTGTGGTGCAGGACAGATTCTACCACACCCATGGCAGACACCACACCAGGGTGTGGTGGAGTCTGTTTTGGGTTATTCTTCACGTTTTTCATAATTCCTTCGCCGTTTTCACATAATGTACTGCGGACCATTTGATATTTTCTTCCACCAATAACACTATACATTCACTCTCTACTCTCATTATGTGAGGTAAGGGCCACAAAAAATATTCTTATATTAACTTTCTCAAACGAATCCATAATCCAAATTACTGGATTTTTCACCTCAACTTTTGCTGAGGTGGGTAACAATTTCCAACGTTTTTCTCTAATCTATTTTCCTTTAAACCAAGAGTAGAAATTGATATTTGAAACTAATTTTTAGCCCTTAAAAACTCCATGGATTTCTACCAAATTCATGGAATCAAACATCCCTTGAGAAGCCCAAAGAAATTGGCCCAATCTAAGAGTATGTGGATCTTAAATAGAGGCTAGGAACCAACTTAATCCAAAAACATAAGCTATTATCCTATTTAATTAAGTCCACAATTCTTTTTTAACATTATCGATGTAATATTATAATTCACATGTAATATCTCAACACCTCTTGGTTAACTTGTGAGTACAGTTCAATCATCCACAAGAACTATGGACCGTCCACTAAATTGGTTTGAACCAGCAACATTTGGGTTAAACAGACCATAAGCACTCCTAGGAGTAATCTTGGGCACTACATAGCATCCGTGGGTTTAACCTGGCTTTTGGTCTAAACCAGTAACCATGTAACAACGATAAATCACCAACATCATCTATCATGTTTGGACTAGCTAACTAGACCTTAGCCTACATTGGCAACAATGGGAGCAGCATGACATGCCGACCATCCTAGAATCTTCCACCATCTGCAATTGGTGGACAAATTTGACATTAAGGCCTGGTAGGATTGGGAATAATGTGAGGTAAGGAACGGTAAGCGACACATTAAATCTATTAATTTCTGAATTTATTTGTAGTAGATAATAGGTAAGTGACGCCTTCTTCCTCCATCCCCCAACCTAAATTTGGGGTGTAATAGAAGAGATGAGGACTCTTAACAGAAGAATATTACACTGTGCAGTTTTGCCCTTCTATCAAAATGAAATACAAAGGGGTGAAATAACATCTAAAATTATTTATATAAATTTACATATACTCTCTTTCCTTCTCTTCGCTTTATTATTAAACCTCCTAATAGATGACAATTCAGAGTGGTGTGGGTTGGTCAAAGTCCAAATAGAAGAAGATTGTCTATAGAACATTGTAGCGATGATGTTTCATGTTAAAATACTTGTTGCAGGTAGGATCTGCTATCAAATATTTACTCACATTGTTCCTGACATTATGACGAAATGATAGCTATGACCAATCTTTCCTCGATACTGAGGTGCAGGAGGAACCAACCATGGTTGCCATTTATCTAAGCTATATACGGAGCAGGCCTATTTGAAACGTTGAGCTCCAACGTAATGTAAAATATATTGACTCTGGAGTCGCGATCACTTTTATTTATATATCAATTAGCTTATATTGGAAATCTGGAAGGAGTACAATCAAGAGGTTATGATACAAAAATTAAGGGGTTAGGATTTAGCTAGCAACTCCTGACTAATTAGCTACGGGCATTCTACGTACTCTGATATGGCATTCCTTTGTTCATTTCTCATGACAACGCTCACCTGTCTCTAACGAATGATTTGTAAGGATCCTTGGTGTCAAGAAGACATCCTCCATGCTGCGGTTGAGAGTTCCACCTGCCGATAATAAATGTTTTTGATAACTTCTACCTTAATGAATGCAATGAGTCTGCTTTCAATTTCATCAAGTGATTAGTTTCCTTGGAATCAATTAACATGTAAATAGTTCTTACGTTTTCTTCAAGAATCCATTTTATTTATGAGGCAAACTGTGCATGTGTCTCTGCGTGTTCAGTAGAACCATGTTAGGTAGCTCAAAATCAACTAAGGTATATATGCCAAGAAATACACAAAATAAAAAGGAAACAAGATGGCACGTTTAGTGATGCTACCCGATGAGAAACATAACAAAGACAAAACATAAGTTAGGGAAGAAGAAGAAGAAGAGAGGTCAGCGCTGAATAAATAAACGTTTCAAAATTACTTTTTTAATCATCAGATCTGTTATATGTTCAAGGCATCTGGCAGAGATTTGCCACAGTGACATGTTTGTACATATTTTGACAGTTAAGAGGTGATTAATTATTTTTGGGAGAGATAGCACGCAGCCATTAACATTTGAGATTAGGTTATATTCAACTCAAAGAGGGCAGGCTTAATATTATTAGTCTTATTTGGAGTTTGACTGCTCTATCATCTAGATATCATCTTATTAGAAATTTGCAAATTCTTTTACTGGGAGCACCAAGTTTCCAGTAAATGGGGCCTAGAAAATGGAGGAGGAAAGGTAGAAAGAGACAGTTAAATGGATCATGAAGTCCCATTCAAGAATAGATAGCACCAATAATTTTATAAATTTTATTAGATTCCAGGATGTCGATAGATTTAAATAAAATGTCTTCAGAACAACTTCCATATCAATGAGGTTATCTGTCAATCAATTTAAAAGTATTATGGTTGAAACTTAGTTTATATAGAATCCTTACCTTTAGTAATGTCAAAGACGCATAACTCCTTTTTACTGCACCAAAACTCTAAAATTGTGGACGAGATAAGGGTATTAATTAAACCGACCCTATATTGTTATTAAATTTGGTTCCTTTCTGTCGCGACTAGGTAGTGGGGAAACTACACCCTGATTCTGAATCGGAACTGTGTTGCGTTTAGTTGACAATTATGTGTTCTTGAGTGAAACGGAAAATTAC